CAATAATTTAAGATTTTTTTACATGTATAGTTTTGCAAATACAAAATAACTACAAAAAATAAAATGACCTTAAAAAAGAAGTTGATATGAATTTCTTTAAAGGAAATAGTAAATATACAGTAGAAGAAATAACAATAAAAATTAAGAATTTATAATGTTAGACTTTTTTTACGTAAAGTGTAAATTCAGCTGGAATCCGAGTTGCTATAGTTTATTGACTCAAACTCCAATGATTCCTTAATTGCTTCCAACTCCAACTCTCCGACTCCACAGCCTTGAGCCAAACTTGATAGTTTTACTTTTATTAATTATCTAATAACAATTACTATCAAAAGTATGATGGAATTATTTTTACTGTTATTATATTTTTGATCCGAGTATTAACCTTGTACACCTATATGTACATTGTACATATGTACTTAACATGTATATGCTTTTTGGGAGTTTCTCTCTTTTGACTTTTTTTCATTGGCTTCATTTAAATGTAAATGACTGTCTAATTAGCATAGCTAAGGTATAGACTATATAAGTGCCCAAGCAGTAAGGGGAGGGGCAGAACATTATATGTGAGATTAACAACTACAGCTGAACTGAGAAAATATGATGGAAATCACATTTCATAACAACTACACTTAAGTATCATATTGCAATAAGGTTGAACCTGATTCAAGAATTGGCATCTATCATAGAAAATAAGAAATTGAAGGAAATGGTTTAATTTATCAAAGTAGATTTAGCAGATAAGTACCATTTTATTCAACTGTAAATTGTTGCAGATAATTAACAAAGTATCAATTTCAGAGAAGGGAAGTGATTTTCTTCTAAAAATAGGTTCCACATCAGATTTTTTTACTTAGAATTTTTGCTTCTAAGCAAATACTTCTTGATTTATTTAAGATGGAATGATCTATTATGACATGTATCTATTAGATACATTGTATTTATTTTCAATTTTTCTACTTGAATTGTTAACCTATATTAAATTTGATCCATTATTGTACATAATTAGGTTACAATAAAATTTGTATTTTATATGAATACTACCTTATGAAAATTGAGATGGAATCCTATCATATATTGGGGAGGTGCATAAGACCTTTGGACCGGCCCTGCCTGTGAATGTTAAATTCTCTAAGCCTTCTTTCCTCATTATATGTTCCCAAAATTTCAATTGTTTCTTTCTGATTGTAAGTATCCACTTCATTACCACTTTTCTCTGATAAACTGCATCCGCGCACTGTAATGTTAGGCTTTGATAACTATTCTTCTAGCTAGTGTAAAAGTTGGAATAGATATTGCCACCATTTTTTGTTTTATTTCTTGGAATTGTGACTCTCATATCATCACACATATGTTTACTGATCCTTTATCAACATAAATACATTTTTTTTTAATAAAAGCTGAAACTTTGCAGTTTGTATTATATTTGTTAGATTCTGGTTTCCTTTGTAACAGAATAAAGTTGGAAGTATTTGCAAAATATGCAGTTCTTGGAAGAAGTCTGAAACCAGTTCCTTTCTGAAATAAAATTATATGAAGTATAATAAAAAATAAATAAATAAATCTAACAGCTTGTAATCTAACTCAGTAATTCTTTAATAGGAGGAACTTGATTCCCAAGGGAGGAATTTCAACTCAAACTGGAGAAATTTTAAGCAGAGCAGGAATTGGGTATTAAATTCAAGTACTATGATCCATTGAAATAAAGAATTTCCTTATTTTTTTTTTAATTTGATTACAATAAAGCAATCTGGTTCCAGGAATTGTTTCAATAATTATCACTGTAAAAGTAAAATAGTGAAAAAATTATTACATGACAATTCTTTAAGTAAATCTGGAATCATCAGAGTAGGAAAGTAAAGTAAACTGTCACACTAAGAAACATTTTACTAACTTTAATGAGAAAACAGATTTACACACTGCAATTTAAATTAAGTTTACAGATTGTAACATCTATCAGAGAGATGAAATTTAATTTTTTATTATTGCATTATTCCAAAATTTTAACACATCAGCAGATAGTTATTAATTTCAACAACTAAGCACAAATAGTTATTAATTAAAATAATTAGTAGTTAATGTGATATTATCCATAACTACATATACAAAAATGTTGTTTTTGATAAAAGTTAAAAAAAATAACCATAAATACTTTAAAAATGTGTATATTGTCAAAAATTCCTTTTTCCACAATATAGCTATTTGTGTGCTATATTATAATGCTTATTACCTAAACAATAATGATACTGAATAAATTTTTTTAAGCATTAAAGTATATTTAATCACATCTCCCTAATAGCTGCCGTGATCTGTTAATCTATATTAAGTCATATAGACAGTGAATGTTATCAAATGGATAATATCAAAATCATTCTATCTGAAACACTTTAAAATTAATTTAAAGATAATTTTAAGTCAGTAAATTTCTTTTCTTCTAATATAAGGTTGTTTATAACAATAAATGTTTCAATTTCTGTATCCTTTGTTTAATTGCATTAGATGATTGTTATGTAAAATATTCTCTCCCAAAATGAGCACAATAAGTGGTTTCTGTATTCTGATTCATCACTTAACCAATTTATCCCTTCTGATTATTTTTGTACATTATTTTTGGTTATAAAATAATTTTTGTGACTGATTTTAATTTCCATAATATGAAAATTATTTGTTTATGCTATTTATATCATCTATTTATCTTATCTAGTTTTTATTTTTAGTACAGTTCTGTTATTGCTCATTCTGTTTCCTGAATCTAAGTCATACTATCCAGTCTAGGATGGTGTGTACTTGGACAGGAATTGAACTCACAATTATTATGCCACCAAATTCACAAACTAACACTTTAATCCACTAGGCTATTGTCCCATAGGACAATTCTCTGTGGAAAACTTGGAACCTTCAGCATCACCAGCTTGTCTGCTGAATCTAAAAACTATTTTTAACGTTTTAAATTATTGACCTCAAAATGTGACATTGTTGCAACATATGTAGCTCAAACTGGTGTTTGTATGGCTGCAGTCATTGTTTCATGTTTGTACTCATTGTGTAAATGCATTTGTCTTCATGGCTGTTTTCAGGACAGTACACCAAAAATTGTACTGTCTCTGTTTCTTATTAAAAGTCAAATCAGCTGTCCTTTCTCCAGGAGAAAGGTTTTTTGTGTAGTAATGAATATTGAAACACATATAGTCTGTATTGGCTACTTTTATTGTTTCCCAGCAAAGAAACTTTACCAACTACTTGACAGTGAGGTTGATAGTGAGTAACAGAAACTTCCAAGACCCAACTTTTGTAGACTATATGATCTTAGCAAGTGAAAAATTCTCACCAAAGAATTTTGGTAGGAAGAAACTCCTTTTTTTACAAGGAAAGTTCACATTTTTGCTTACTGCTGATTTGTCAATTCACAAACCGATGAAAAGATACTGCCACATCCTACTTCTTTTCCTTTTAGCTTGCAGGATTTGTAACCATCAACTGACCCAGTAAAATATGATGTACACAATATATTTCCAACAACCTATATGGCTGTTTATTATTTAGATTTTTATTTTATCTTAATCCTTAACCTTAAATTATTTGTCTTTGCTCACAATGTTACCTGAAGAGTTATTTGTTATTATTGCTATCACTAGTATTGTAGTATATGATTCACACCAAAAAGTAGCAGATGGTCTGAATCAAATTTAATGTTAATAAGGAATCTTTATTCTAAGAAGCTGATCTCTGATTACCCAGTGTGTACTGGACCCATCCCAGACGATACCAAAATAAGCTTTGCACTTAGTGCAACATTTCTCAATCCTACAAAAACTTGGGTTTCTACCATGGACCATTTTCTCCTTTTTTATATATATATATATATATAAAACTGTAGTGAAGTTCTCAATGTATCTCGGGTATGTCATTTTACTTTTTGGTCTATGAATTAGGATAAGTAAGTAATACCATTAATATCATTAATATAGTTGTGCTCAAGTCAGCCTTGCACAGAGCTGGAACAACCAAAGAAAAGGTAGATTTACTTCATAGGTGGAGGTTTTGGAAGACACATGCAAACGCCATATGTTGGAAAGTGGAAAGAGTGTTTAGTTGTCAGTTTACCAGGGAAACTAACGAGCCCCTGCTGGGACGTCCTTTTTCCACATCTTAGAACCAAAGGCAGAAAAGGATGAGGAAGAAAAATGTTTGTCTTTTTATAGACTTAAACAGTGCCATCTAATGGCATTTGATAAAACTAATTAGGGTAATAAAATACTCAGTTCGTTTACTACTATTTTCATAGGAAAATGTATTTCTTTTCCTTTTTTTATTATTTTCCCAGTTTATTATGAACTAATTGTACTGGCAAATATTTTAAATGAAAAAGTGTCATTTCCTGTTTTTCTGATTTCTTAAAAAGAATAGTCATTTATATTTAACACTTTAAAACCACAATTATCTATCATCTTATCAAATAAGCAAATATATTTTTGCTAATTGGATGTTCATCATTTAAAAAGAATTCTAAGTTATTTCATTTGTAGTAATGAATTTGAATAAATTCAGTGTTATAAAACATGATTATTGCAAATATGTTAATTATATTATTGTGTACAAGACATTGTTAAAGTTTATTTTAAAATATTATAAGACTTCCATTGAAAAAATTTGCCCTATTAAAATAATACCTATTTAATTGAATATGGCTTTTCTATTAAGATAGATTAAATAACATAATACTTTTTTTTTTTAATAAAAATAGTAACTATTTTAAAGGAAAATATTTTTTCCTATGATTTTTGGTCACTGATGATACAGCCTGACAGATTGTTTGGAATTTGCATTTTTAACATTATTCTATAGCAAACTAATGGTTATTGTGAGTAAATGCAAATATGTTTTCTTTTAGCCTCATTACATTTTTTTTGTTTAATTCACAGTGTAAAAGGTATTTTTTCTATTCTTTTCTTATTTTAACAGATATTTTTATCAGAGAAGCTAATTTTAATTTCTTCATAATGTTAACCAAAATACATCGAAATATACTGAGTCGAAACCAAGGCTTTTGCAGAAGTTTGTATCAGCAAGTAAATCCAGCAGTCAGTAGTACAGTTTTCACCCAGCATTTTCAGAATGTCCATACAAAATCTCAGGACAATCCAAAAATACTTATCACAGGTAAGCAAAATAACTTTTTTTTTTTTTTTTTTTTTTTTTGTTGAGAAGCATAGAGAATCAGAAGAGTCATCTTTATTTTGGTTTTCATGCTGTTTGGTTTAGTTGTTTTTAGATAAGTGTTATCAAGTGTGTTTTGATAAAAGCAAGAATCAGATATACTAAAGCAAAATAAGGGGAAAATGTTTAATCTAAAAAATTTCAAAATATATAATCCTAACCATTGAACACACACACACATAGTGCATTGCTTATAATTCTTGTATGAAAATCAAGAGAAAATTGGTATTGTTAGTGATCAGGAACTTATGCAAATATGTTAATTGTTTTCTTCTTTCAGATCTCCATCAAATCTAATTTCAGTTATTAACTGTATCTGAAATTTTAACCATTTTTTAAAAATGATTATATTTCACATTTTAATGATTTTATTTATATGCTTGCATCAGATGTCTGGTGGTTATCACTGGAGTTTTGAGTAACAAGAAGTCTCTTTAAATCTTTAGCATTCTTTCTCAATATCCTTGCAAAGCCTAACAATTCTGTAGTCTGGTTATTATCAACTCTTCTATGAATTCCCATTTCATGTTGTGTTGTGATGGTGTAATAATATTATTTCTTCATTGAATGTTTAAACCAGTAATTAGTGTGGACTTACATCAAGTGACAGTAAATTTCCCTAATACTCCAGCTGTCTTATTCATATTCTGGTAGCTTTTGGTAATAATTGTTTCCTTTTATCCTCATGTTTTTTTTTTGTTTTTTTTTTTTTATTCTCCTAACCTTTTTATGTAAATCTTCCAGACTGTTCCACATGTTGCAACAACATTGTGGAAAACTGTCACCTACAAGTTCCTCATTCTTACAATGTCTCAGTATTTGTCCAGTTTTTTCCCTTCATTTTGCTTACAAACAGACAATTATTATATTTCTCAAAAAAAAAAAAAAAAAAAAAATCTAATTTCTCCATCATATCTTCTTGTTTTGTTCTGGTTTTTATTTTTATTTATCACAGTTGTTATTGTAACCATGGAACTAAGCTTTTCATTAATATTTTAACATCATAATGATATTGTATGCTTCTTCTTCTTTAGGAAGTCTTGGGCAATTAGGTTTTGGACTTGCCAAAGTCATGAGGTAAGTATATTTTTTTTTTTTTTTTTTTTTTTAACATTTATATTATTCCAGAAACTTAATTTTACTTACTTCAGAATTTCTGGGAAGAAGTATTGTTACTATTCAATGACTTTCATTTTGTGGTTGTCTGTGTTTCAGCTTGCTTACACTCAAGCCTTGATATGTATTTCTGAACTTGTAAGCTTCTGGAATATAGAATGGAAGATTTCAGTTGGTAGTATGTATAATGACAAAAGTACACAGGTGTATGCTTTAAGAAAGCTTTATTCAACTGAGTATAGTGTCCTTTTATAGTCCCAGTAAACAGAAATAACTCTCTCAAAGAGGAGAGTAATGAAACAAGGGGAGATCGCTCTTGATTATTCATAACAGTATATTTACAAGCTTTGCTTTTTGAAACATTCTGTGTCTTTAGGAATTTTGTCTTTATTCTACCACTCTGCTCCTTTACAGATCAAATATACTCCTAGGGATCGTTTATATCCAGCAGACCTAACAAAAGCTGCCTTTCCCTGTATCAAAGTCATCTTAGTTTCCCAACGATGCACCCTAATTTTATTTTGCAAATATTAAAACAAATGAAAATGCATAAAATCAAGTCAAATTAAAAATGTAAGCTTTGGCCTGTAGGACACAGGATAAATTTTCAAGACTTATTTCAGGTGAGAAAAAATGTTTTTAACACTTGGAAATAATATTTTTATTCATAGTGTAAAGGAACTTTAAAAAAAAAAAAAATGTACCAGAAATGAAAGCTGATTAGAACAGATCCAGGGCCTTCTCACTCCTTGAAGGAAACTCTCCCTGATTAACCATGTCTTCATGGGTGGAGCTGTACTCACCTCACTTGGCCAATTGCAGATTGGTGAGACTATTTAACACATAGAGGTTTTGAATTCATAGTTGTTTTTCTCCTAGACTGGCTGCCACCCAAGGCTATAGGACCCGGTCTATCCTGCTATTTACCCATAGACAGATTTATACTTTTCCCAAAGGTATTTGCACATGTATGGGAATGTAACAAACTCAACCAGAATTCAAACTTGCCTCTCTGATTCCTTTATCCAAACTGTTATTCATTACTCCACTGTGCGGAAATAATAATAATAATAATAATAATAATGAAATAAAGGAGAGTAGGTTAAAACAGTAAATGTTCAGGATAAGAAAAATTAATAAGAAAGAATAATGAAATAAAGAAATAAATATATATTTGAATGAAGAAAAGAGGCACTAATGCATAGAGATAAGAACATTCTAATAACAATTTCTGATTTCATCGTCAACCCAGACAGATGTGGAATAGATGTTAATTGGCTAAGATGAACCAATCACCACTCTTATGAAAAAGCCCATGAAAGATCAATATTAACATTAATTGTGAGAAATTCCTACTAGATGCCACTGAGGTAGGGTGCCAGCACTATTATGATGGCATCTGGCACCCAAAAGATGCAGCCTCTCACACAATACCACAGACAGACAAAGGATGTAACCAACCCTAAGGAAAGTCAAGTGACTCACACTTAAAGACAGACTGCGAGTAGTAATAGAAAGTACGGATGTTAATAAATAATTTTATTCTAAGCCATCTTCATGTGACAAGTTTTTATTTCATACAAAAGAAATAAATAAGATATACACTCTGTAAGTATTGTGCAAAATTTGGCCAACAGCAAATATATATATATATATATATATATATATATATATATAATAAAGTAAAACCAATTATGTTGGTGTGACCAACAACTTGCCATTGACCTAACAGCTTATTAGACAAGAAAAAACCCTGAACAAAAAAAGAAAAAGAAAGACCAAAAAGTAAACACATAACTACTCAATAAAGTGTTCAACATCCAGATTATCTAGATAGAGCAAAAAGCCCTTCACAATGTCAACACTTAACAAAGGACATCTCGGGTTGTTAGGTATTTGTGTAGACGCTCTGTTTATTTATTAAACAGTGTTAATTATTTATTTTTATGTACTGGTTTGAATATTCAGGAAATCTTATTAAAGAAAAATATGCACTCTCTGACTTTATTTTAATACACTGTTTAATAAATAAATGGTGTGTCTATTAAATTGTGAGCATCTACAAAAATTACCTTTTAAAGTGATACTATATATATATATATATATATATATATATATATATATATATATATATAATGTGAGTGTGTATTTTGGCAGCAATCCTTCCTTCATGCACATTTCATTGAATACAACAGACAAGGTGCTTTTATTTAATTTTTTTTATACAATTTCTCATGCAATCTAATTTTTTTTTCTTTTCAGATGATAAATTATATAAAAACAGTCCGAATGTTCTTTTTTATCCAAGTGCTTTCGGCTATACATTTAGCCATTTTCAAGGATGAAATATTTTAATTGTTAAATAAGAAATAGTTTGTTGCATGTATGTATTTATGTTTTCATTTTTAAAAACACAGTCAAGGTATTGTGTCCATGTTCATAGTTGATATTATTAAGTGTTGTTTTTTTTTTTTTTTGTTATTAATAAGGCTTCCATTATTTTTAGCCTTTTTTTTTTTTTTTTGCATGTAGATGATGCTGTTATGTTTGTGTTGTCAACAAGTATGTTAAGAATAGTGTCTGGTAGGTTTCTATGAATAATTAAATGAGATTTAATTGAGCTATGGTCAGAGAGGTGTACAGTGAGTCTTTGTATCAAACATGTTGTTGTGTGGCCTATATAATTATTTACAAAATTTGATTGATCAGGAATACAATTCTTTAATGGGTATTTAAATATTATATATAAATATATACATGCAACAAACTATTTCTTATTTAACAGTTATATATATATATATATATATAATATATGCATTTTATAACATCACTACAAAAAAGTTATTTTCTTTCAACGCTTCTGGTGTCTTGCCAAGTGATGGCATTGATTGCAAAATACAGTGTTTTAAGGGTTAGTGCATTAAAGTTAAGATTAGATTAAATTAGAACACAGTATAACTAATTAAGTTTTAATTTGATAGTAAAATTAAAAATTGCAAATGTCAACTTCTAAATTTAGTTGAACATCAAGTTGAAAATTATTACAAAGTTATTCAGAAACAAAACTAGGATAAAAAATATATAATTTTTTTATTGTTCTTAACAAAGTGCCATTTTATCAGTTAAGTTCAACACTGATGTAAGAAGTATCTACCATCGCTACACATATTTGATACATGGAAGTTAGAATTCACATAAGGAAGTAGCTATGGAAAATGTGACACTGAAATTCAAACATGCATTGGGCTAGAAAGAAACGAATTTCAAAAGCTAAGCATGGTCCTGAGAAATGGAAGAATTTTGTTAGAAACAAAGAAAAGAGTATGGGGTTGCTATGTGATATTCTTCATCTTATATGGCAGTGAATGTTGGACAATCTCCCTATGGATGAGGAAAAAAAAAACTAGATGCAGCAGCAATGTGGTTCTACAAAAGGATACTGAAATTTCCATGGACAGAGCAAATAAGCAACAAGGAAGATTTAAAGAAAATGGCGACAGGAAGAACACTTATACTTGGAATTAAGAAGAGACAGCTGAAATTCCTTGGATACATGAGAAAGAAGAGCAAGAGAGATAGGGGAAGCCAGTGAATCTGACAAGCTTATGTGAATCAATGGTAGAATAGGTGGGGATGGCCTTAGCAGTTTTAGTTTTTCTCCCTTTGCTAAGTACTACACAAGATAGGAATATGTAGAAAGCTATGATCGCCTATTTCCTGAAGAGACCTGGCATATAGAAGAATCATCATGGTGGAGTAATGGATAACAGCTCAGATTGAGGAATCTGAGAGCCGAGTTCAAATTCCAGTTAAATCCATTACATTCACTTATGTGCTAATGCCCTTGGGAAAGGTATGGGTAAATAGCAGGACAGACCGGGTTCTGTAGCCTTGGTTGGCAACTGATCTACTGCAGGGAAAAATTTGCCTTGTCAGTCATGTATCAAAAGATACATGATCGCCTAAGCGTGTATCATATATGGCACATAACTGACTGACTATGACTACATTTCTCATATTCATTATTTTTTTTTTTTATTTAAAAAGAAAAAAAATGAAAGAAGAATTTATGTTGATATTCCAACTATTCCTGCAGAAAAAAGTATTTAAAATACCTGTTAAAGTAGGATCTTGATTAATAAACTGAGTGACAGCACTTCAACAAACAACTGAAAATTTCACCCTGAGAAAAAATTTCAATAAACTTCAATGATGTCTAAAGGTTAAATCCACTTTGGCAGGAAGGTAGACAAGGTACTACCACTGCTTAGAACACATCAGAATTAAGCTGAGGAGTAGAAGTCTAATTCCTTCAGAAATTTTTTATCTAATGATGGTGAGTTCAATCCTAGCTCGGACCACAAGAGTTAGCATAGTTAACAAATACCTTCTGTATATTTTAGCTTTTTTTTTTTAATGTGGAAAATTTTTTTATCATCTCCTTTGATTGTCAGAAATTTTATTTAAAAGTAAAATGGGTAGGAAAAACTTCCCTAAGAGTAAAATAAGCTCTTATGGAGAAAAAAAAAATATTCTAAACAAACAAATCACTTTTTCATTATTCAACATTTTTTGTAGCATGCTAAAAAGCAATAAAGAATTACTTGGTAAAGTAATTTTCTAATGATTATTTTTAAAAGAAGGAAAATAATTGATTTGTTTCATGGCTAATGTCTACAGAGTCTGCCAAAAAAATCCAACTTATGGACTTCTTTGATGTATTTTAAATCATATATTGATTACTTAAATAATGTGAAGTGTGAGGTCATGAATTGTCATAGAGAACAGAATTAGACCATCTCTAGTCACTAGTCCAGGTTGTTTCTTTTTTAAGTGAAAGATTTTTAAATTTATCCTGAAAGGATTTCTAACTGCTCTTTGCATATTTTGTCTAACTAATTCAAGTAATCATTTTTCATGAATGAATTAGGTCTTCCTCTTGGAACAACATTTCTAAAACCATCTCTGTATAGTCCTGACATGAACCATTCTACCATCAAATGCTAAACTGATGTTTTGTTGAGCTTTTTGGGTCTAATTTGAACTCATATAATAAGATGAATTGATATTGTTTACTTGTTATCATTTTCTGGAGGCTAAAAATGTTTTTATGGAAACAACTGCCTGAAAACAAAATAGCAAGAAGAAATAAGCACTAAAATAACTTCTGCTAATTTGGGATTTCATGTGGGATAACTTAATAGTTTTTATGAGTATTGACTTCATACACTTTCAACTTCATATTCTTGCAATATACAAATTCTTGATATCTTATCCAAACTCATCTTAATTTTTTTTAATCCTTTGCAGACAAAGATATGGCAAAAATAATGTGATATTGTCTGATATTATCAAACCAAATAAAAGTGTTTATGAAACTGGTAAGTTTTTATAAAATCATATTTTAAAACTTCAAATCTATAAAAATAAATGAATTTTATGCTTTATTTGACATAAATCTTTTCTACATGCAGGTAGTGTAAGGTTATCAGCAGAAAAAGTGAAATCAGCAATCAGTGTTTAAATTCATTTCTTTTTTCTTTTTTTTTTTTTATTTAGCTTTTATGAGTTAAATAGCAGAGTAGACTGAGCTTTCAGACCTTGGATGGTTGGTAGCAAGTTTTAGAAGGAAAACTCTGAATTCCAAACTTGATTTATTTTATTTTTATTTTTTTTTTATTTTATTTTTTTATTTTTATTTTTTTTTTTTTTTTTTTTTTTTTTTATTTTATTTTTACAGCTCAACAACCTTTTGCAGGTTATTTAAAGCTAGAAAATAATTTTAGAGTTTAAAAATGTTGATTTTTTTTTTATAATAAATAATTATATATATTAGATAATAATGATTTATTGATGCAAGTCCTGCTAATTGACCCATAGCTTGGGGAAAGAAGAGGTGGATTCATACCTTTCCCAAGGTTAAGTGAATATAACAAATCCAATGGGAATTGGAACCCAGCTCTCTGATTTACTATTTGAAGTTGTTATCCAGTACACCATCTGAACATCACGTTTACAGCACCTGGTATTCCCAAGTGGTCACACATCTAGGTACTGATCAGATTCAACTTTGCTTAATTTCAGTGATCATATGAGAAGTGATGTTTGAACATGATATGGCCATAAGAAATATATATATGTATGCAATATATGAATGTAATGTATGCATGATAAACAGAATGTTCATGACTTATAAATATTTGCCCACACACAAAAAGTAAATATATACACAGCAGGGAATGAAGAAAAAAGTAGTGTTTAAAATATGTTGAAGTGATATTTAGTGAATACACATATTTGAATAGTTTTTTTTTTTTTTTTTAACAGTATAATTTTCATTAACTAGCCTAGATTTCTAGATTTTTTGAGAGTTCTTAATAAAGAGTGTGCCTTTTTGGCAGGGTTCAAACTTACATCACCATATAGTCTTTTTAAAGTTAATCATGCTAACAAGTTCTTAGATATTTTTAAGTGGTACAAATTACAAATAAACTTTAAGCTAAAGAGTAATATTAGTTAAGACTTACTTTGTATTCTATAAATTGACTATTACCTCCTTAAAATATCACACATAAAAAAGAAAAATTTAAATCATTTTTTTTCCTTCGTTTCTAGTAAGTTTATTCATACATTATCATTTACTTTATATAAATATTTTTAAATTTCTAATTAATAACATTTTTCTGTTTCAGGGCCTTTCATATATGCAGACATTTTAGATTTCAAAAACTTACAAGAAATTGTGGTGACTCATCAAATTGACAGCATCGTCCACTTTAGTGCCCTTCTTAGTGCCATAGGGGAAGCCAATATCCCCCTCGCCATGAAGGTTAACATTGAAGGAGTTCACAATATATTTGAACTATGCAGGCAATATAATCTGCGTTTATTTTTTCCTAGTACAATTGGTAAGTTATTTTTCATGCCTCATAGAATCTCTCAATTATCCATTTAGCCCAAAATATAAAAATGCAAGACTACAATGACTACTAATAACATTTCTAAGCTACTATTTTTTGCAGTATAGATAAGCAAAGTCAATGTTTATTCAGATTTTAAAAGGTAAACATCATCTTACTGGATCAATGTATTTTGTCAGTAGAATTCTGAGATATTTTTATTCTTAATTTTTGTCTCATCTTTTTTCATGTTATTGTAACTTCTTATCATATTGTGCATGTGTAAAACTTTTCTGTCACCAGAAGAGTCTACTGCACAGAGATATGGAAAACAGCACAACAAAGATGAGGAAATTAGTCTAAACCAAACATAAAATGATTAAAACATTTTGTCTAATGAAATGCAGACAAAATTGTGTAGAAAATACCAACTTACCTTGTAAGAAGCTATGACTATGCTATTGGCAATGAAGGAATAGGCATATCTCCCTTATGAAACCAACATAGTCAGCACTTTTAATGTGTCAGTTAAAACTAGCAAAGGGATGAACTTTAGTATTGATGTTGTGACAATGGGAACTGTTTTTTTGTGTTTATTCTGGAAGAAACTTTATGTGCAGATGTGATCACCCCTTTCACAGACAAAACTGTTGTCTTGTTCTAATTTACTTCCTGTAATACTACAAAGAGTTTATTCAAATTTGTTACATAGATATTTATGAAATTATTAGACCAGTACAATTGTGAGTAAAAGTCTTTTTATATTATTATTATCTTTGATTTTTGTTATATACACATTTCCTTGTGAATCCAAACCAGGGACCTAAGGTCAGTAATGTCTTCATGACATTTTCCTCTGATCATTTTTGTAAAAAAAGAACAACCTAAGATCACACTCATTTTGCATAGATAAAGCTTTTCATAATGTGTGAGCTGTATTTGTGAATACAATTTTTTTTTTATTTCTTTGTCATGGACTAGAATGATTCTATCAAAACTTTTTCCAATCAATCCGACGGCTCCAACTACAACTAGAATTATTGATGTCCTCATGCCACATTTTTGAGATTTCCATTTCAAATCCTTGTATTTTGATAGTTTTTTTTAAGATCTTCAAAGATATATTACAATTTGCAAAAACTGTCATGTCAATAAGAAATTGACCCACTCTATCATGCTGTTTTTGTAGTCTTTGATCACAATGTCAGGGCGATTAACTTTGATTATTCTCTATGTATCTTATAAATGATGTAATGAAATAACCTGTCACCCCCATGAGTGACTACACTATAGGTAGTAACTACCTATAAATATCCGTAAGGCAACAGACTACAGAAGTCTAGCTGGGATCTGTTGATTATGACTCGGACTTACACGAGAACTACCAACTTTCCAATAGCAGCACTCACTACTGGATTGATTTGTGATAATCATGCACATAACTGTTACCTTATTTCTTATTGTACTGGTTTTTACAATAAACCTTTACTTACTTTATCCACTGTGTTTGTCAAGTATATATTCCTGTTAGCACAGAATATAACAATAAAGTTCCATAAAATTGTTTCATGGCCTTTATCTGTAACCATGTTGAGGTGGTGTTTATACCAGTTTCGAACAGTTTCCTTCCTGTAAAAGTTGCAGATTTTCCAGTGCTGATATTGACCCACTCTATCATGCTGAGTTTTATATTCAGTGGATACTAATGCTGTGCAACCTGATACATAATTATTATTATTATTCACAAATAAATATTGATACACTGGTATAAATTCTTTTTTGTCTGAAATTAAAATTTAAGAAGCATTAAAATTAAAAAGCAGTTAATAAAATTCAACCATTACTTAAACTGTCATTTAATGAATAAGTTAGATAAAATTTGCTCAGGACAATGTTCTTATTTCTATGTATTCCAAAACATATGCCTATGTAATTTATATGTTTGTGTGCAGCTATCTCTATTTGCATGTACACACACACACACACACACACACACACAAGGTGGCATTAGAAGTTTCTGGACAAGGATTTTAGAAACAAAACACCATTGCACCTGCAAATGATATTTTGTTTATTATTTAAATATTTAAATTGTCACCATACCCTTTAAATTAGTTCATTTGGGAACAGTGATCCCAACACCTCAAAAATGCCATGCAATCCTCTTCCTGAAGGCTGCCTAATATTAAATGTAATTTTTTAATTTTATCTCTGCTTTTGATCTTGAGAGAGATTGATTGATTGATTGATTGGTAACAATCAACACAAGCACACAAATCTTTACCAAATTTTCTGGTCCATTGTAGTCATCATTTTGAAGTGAGATTCAACCAGCCTTAAAACAATTGGCACTCAAAAACCTGTGTTTCATTGAAAAAATATTAACCAAAAACATGAAAGATCATTTTGATGGTTTCTGTCTTAGATTTGCCAAACTTCATAGAAAATTTGATGCAAGCATGTTCAAATTGTTAGCCCATATAAAGATTACCTAAAGCATTCTAACATATAAGAATTGAACATCAGTAGATGGCATAATGCCTATTGGCCAACTAACTCATTTTGTTGGGTAACATTGATTGTTAGCCACTCTCTCTTTTGAGGCCAATGTACTGGGGTGGGGGGCTATGACATAGGTGTTAATAGTTGGGATCATCCTCTATCAAGTGTCTTAACAGGACTCTATAAACCTTTCTAAAACAGAAACTAAGATCTTGAATTGAAATGAAAGCAGTGAAGGCACATACTCTGAATCCATCATAAAAATTCACTATGTGGAATTGCTAATTACCAAATGCTTCAAATACCTTGGTGTATGGAACAAAAAGTATAACAAATTTAATATAGGAGATAAGGAAATTGAACATGGAAGAGTTACTACCAACCAAAGCATAAATTTTAAATTTGAGTCATGTTCTTAAATAGCCTTGTCAGATCAATATTTTCATATGGATGTCATGCATAACTCCAAACTTTTTCAGAAATATCTAAAGTGTCAGCTCTATGCAACCACTTTTTCAGATCAGTGGTTAAAATTGGCTTTGAGTAAATGAAACTTATAGGTCTTAATGAGGATCATCCTTCTTTGAACCCTGTAGACTGGCGCTACAAAATCACAAAGAATGGTACCAAATAACAGAAAACCACCACACTTAAAAACTTTCAACACTGGCACAATGGATATCACACATAATCAAGACATTCAAATCTATTTCAAACCTGTTTCCTTATAAGGGAACTGCCAATATTACCATTACCATTATCTGATGATAGCTTGCTCAAAATTATAAGCATCTCAGGAGACAGTATGGATAACCAAAATGAAAAATGCCAGTATTACTCACTATGGCAAAAGTGTATTCTCTACATTAAAACATTATCATTATCCAATGATAGATTACATACACTGTATTTTTATTTATAAAATCACTTCATATTTTATTATTCCTTTTGTTTCTTTTTAAAGTATCTAGGAATATGCAAGGTGTAACCTCAATAATTTTTTTTTTTTATCTTACAGGTGCTTTTGGTCCAGATTCACCACGTAATCCAACCCCAGATCTTACAATCCAGAGACCTCGAACAATATATGGTGTATCAAAAGTACATGGGGAACTGCTGGGAGAAGTTAGTATTTGTTTGTATATCAGAATCCATCTTACACATTTATAAATCTAACATTTGCATGTGCATTGAATATTGCTGCCATATCTGGTCTGAGGGTCATGCTATATATATATATATATATATATATATATATATATATATATCTCAAGATTCTTGACAAAATCCAATGTCTGTAATGTTATCAGTCCTGACCTGGCATCTCAACTTTGCCACTGCTATGATGTGGCTTCCCTTTGTCTTTTTTATAAATATTTTCATGGCAGTTGTTTCAAATTTAAGTGTGCTGCTAGATTAGCAAATATGTCTCATTGTTTTACTATTAAAATGGCTAGATGAACTCTCCTCTATAATACCTAGACTATGAATTTAAGTGTATTACTAGACTGGCGGCAAGATCTTGTCATTTTACAGTGAAAATGGCTAGATGTAACTATAAGTTCTATTCTAATACTTTTCTTGTATTTCTTGCCTGTGAAACTCTTTTCTAGTTTCTTGCTTCCCTGCCATCTATGATTTAAATATAACCTCATTTGTCATCTTTTGCCTTCTTGAATTCTGTTCTTTTATTGTCCTTTCTCCTCACTAAAGTCTTCTCATTCTTTTTCACACTCAGTAATCCCTGGTATCTTAGTGGCATTTATCACCTTACTTGGATTGAAATGATTGAAAACAAAATCTATTAATAAACTGTAGGACCTGTAAATTCTACAATTATCTTCATTTATCACTTATGGTAGTCAATTCAAATTCACCATTTTAGAGAATATTAAAATAGAAAAATTTTAAAATTTGAATTGAATTCACTGCCTTCTGTGTATTATGTACAAAAAGGTAGCTTTTATTTTTATTTTATTAAATAAAGAAAGGTAATGGTAATATTCCTTATAAGGAAATATTTGGCATTCATTGACCGAGCAACCACTACTGGTTTTTTCAGGAGTTATTTTTTCTCAAACAAAAAAAAAAATTTCAGGAATAAAGGTTAGACACAGTTAAAGCAAATTAAATTATATCAGGAAAATACATCTTCATAAAACATCTGGTTTCAGGTTTGTACAAATTTGTAAATATTACAGATCAAGTTTAAACTCTTAAAAAGGAAAACAGAACATGGCACAAAACTAGTTAACAACTGACTTTTTATATCCTTTAATTCGGTAATTCAAATTTGTCTTGAGTCAAAATTGTATTATTCTGAGATTTTGCATTCATCTTAACTTTAAATAAAAAGTCATCCATATTAAAATATTTTGTAAATCATCTGTGTGATGTGTAGGGTATATACACAATTCATTTCATACCTTACTAGAAGACTTTGTCTTGGCCATTTAGCAACAACAGTTTAGCTGTACATTTACTTAACTAATCAGTCCTATATGGCAGTGAATGCTAGACAATCCTCACAGATGAAGAGACTTGAAGCAACATAAATGTGGCTCTGAAGGATGCTGAGAATACCATAGACCAAACATGTGAGCAACAAGTTTCTAGAGATAATGGCAGAAAAAAGGAGACATACTTAACATAACATACTTATACTTAACAGCTCCAATTTCTGGGGTACATAATGAGGAAAGAGGGCTTGGAAAATTTAGTGCTCACAGGGCAGACAGAGGACAGCAATTCACAACCTGGCAAGCTTCAATGAATGAATGAATGACAGATGGGTTTGGAAGAGATGGCAAAAGGACAAATTTTATTAAGAGCTACATAGAACAGGAAGTTGTGGAGAGCCATGATCAATAACATCCTGAAGGGATACAGCACAGAAGAAGATATCTTATTAAAATAACATTTTAATATATTTAAAATCTCACATTTCATTGCTTGCACATCCCATTTAAATTAAATTAGTGCTAGTTAACAAATTCCTTTAAAAAAAGTAAACAATATTTAATCCATTAATGTCTACTATCTTGTATTTCATGGGTTCTCCATAGAAACCTATAATTTAATATCAGATTTCTTTATATGAGCCTCTAATTAATACCTAACATTTTTGGCAAACATGGACCTTCATTCCCACAATAAGACAGTGTCAAATGGATAGTTTTTCCCATGACACTGTTTTTTAACTACCTTCATTCTTTAGCAATGTTTGTTTTAAAAAACGATCCATTGGAATGGTTAGTAAAACATTGGCTAATTGATATAAAAGTTAAATTTTTACCCAATGGCTTCCTAATAAGGGTGCATTATATAATACTCCTTTGAAACAAAGTTCAGTATTAAATTCTAGATTCATCAGATAAAACAATACATTTGTTTAGTTATAAAATCATCAGGTAAATTAAACGGTTATTTATTCAAACCTTCTTAGAAAATTTTTTGCCTCCACTGTCTCAGCTAAAAAACAATTTACTCACAAACAAATTAAAATTTCTTTTCTTTTTGCTTTTTATTCTTTTACAGTATTATCATCACAAGTTTGGGTTGGATTTCCGGTGCCTTCGATTTCCTGGCATCATTTCTGCTGATACAAATCCAGGAGGGGGAACAACAGGTAAATATAAGTAATAGCATTGACTCTTCCCCAAGTTCCACTTTTTTTCATTCAATAATTAATTGCTAAAATTCTAATTTTGGTAACCTCAATGTAAAGTTACTTAGTAAATATAAATCATTTGCAAACACTATCATAGAGTATGGTTGCTGGTAACCTCAATGTAAAGTTACTTACTAAATATACATTATTTGCAAACATTAATTATCATAGAGCTTATTACAGTATTGTTGCTGGAATGCCACTATGGCTGATGAAGAATGATGCAGACAAGTTTTAAAATATTCACTGTTTATTTCTCTTATTTTCTGAAAGAAACTGAGTGAAATATTACTGTAATTAACAGTTAAGAAATTTTGAGTTATCTTTGTTGCACTGACTTTTTTTCTGTCAAGTATTACTTTATTAAAATTTGCTGATTAGACTGGAAATTGCATTATGATTCTTATTGTAGTAGAAGTAGATGTATAGAAATTGAATCATAATGATACTAATACCATCAAAATATATATTATATTTTTCATTTTAAGGGGCTTTCTTAATCACATGTTCTTTCAGTCTTTCTGTTTACAAATTGAGTAGAACAAAGCAATGTTCATTGAACAGGCTCTCTTATGTTTAATATATTTGCCTAACTTTCTTTTCAAAATGAATATTTGCCAATCTATGCTTACTGATCATCACAGATAGGACTACTGAAGTTTGGCTGTAACTGTCTTAAACTAAGCTGATTGGACAGAGATTGACAGACGCATGAAGAAGATTGGAGGGTACAATGAAACAAAACTCTGTAATAATAAAAAGATGAGGACATTAATCTAACTGTATTAGATTATCTAATCTGTGTATCTAACATGTTCAGTGGAGGAGGGACATATTCAACAAAAAATCAGAAATTACTTTTTTCACTGCAAATTATTCATTATATCATATCCAAGTATTTTACAAAATATTAGAGCTGATTACACAATATTTCAAGCTCAGTTTAGGTCTATAGTTCATAACCATGCAATGAAATGAGATAACAAACTATATTTGTCTGTGGAATATCATTACATTATTGTTACATAATTATAATGAAATCATTATGGTTTATTTTTTTGTCAAAAGCATTTTATGTTTGGTCATATATTAATCTAAACTATTTCTTTTTAGAAGCTTTATTATTCTTAATAAATATTATCAGTGTTATTATTTTACTTAAGTGTAAGGTAGTCCTACATTTACAATTCCGTATGTTTAACCATGAAAATAAATGTTGATTAAAACTGCCTAAAACCTTTAAGTGTGTATTGTCGCAAAGTTATCAAATGTTGAATACACCCTTCCTTCCTCCGCTGAACACATCAAATAATGTATATAATGATCCAGCATAGCTTAATTTTAGTAATGCAGTTTTAGGAATGTATTTAGAGTGCTAAGAGAGATATTTCTGAATGGAACTCTCTTCTGATGTTCCATTTTTTTTTTCTTCTTAAAACTTCTTCATTTCTCACATACTCTGTCCATGCTATTTTCCACATTTTTCTGTAGAACCACATCTCCATCACTTCAAGTCTTATTTGTTTTCATCTGTGAAGAAATTGTCCATATGATAATAGCTTATAGGAGATTAGACATTACATTACAGTGCAGATGTCTTTGCCTTGCTTCTCAAACAGTTTTCCAATCACATATCTTTTTGTTTTTCTGAAAAGCTGTTCCTATTCTATAATGATACTAAGGTAAAGAAAAAAAAATCTAAATGGCTTATGGCCATGTTACACTGACTACACTGGTTCTTGTCCAAGTGCAACTTATTCCCAGAAAACAAGCTTTACGAACACCAACCAAGCATCAAAGAAAAAAACACAAAACTACTAAAAGCACAAAGAGAGGACATTGTGCTAACTAGATATTTATTTGTATTGGACATACAAGACTAATTCATGTACATCTGCTAAGAGCTGAGAATATATACCTCAATGTACCCATTGCAATCATAGATTGATAGGTAAACACATTCTGATTGAATGAAAAAGCTTAAACAGAGTACTACAATGTCACAAATATAAAAACATTGTTTAAAAATGTTGCCCCTGGCTAGATAATAGGATTTCTAAAAGAAATAGGAATTTTTAAATTCCTTTAAAAATTGTATATGTATGTCCTTATATGACTGCTTTAAATGAATTGAAATTGACAAATTAAACAGTATATATAAAATAAATTGTAGCTACCAAATCAGGCCCCTCCAACTATTGAAAAATGGAAAAAAAGAAAAAGGTGTATATGTAATATATATATATATTCACCTGGTTGGCCTAAAATTACCCATCAGGGTTGACATTCTGTTAAACAAAATCAAACCAAATCACTGAAGTCCAGCAGTATTGAACCTGGAGAATACCAGGTTGCATAGGTTTAAAACTGAGTAGATGGAACCTGTTAGCTTGAGATTGCAGTCCATCTAAAAGAAGGAAAATACTGATTTCAAATCTGTACTACCTTGCAATCTCACCCAATTATAGAAAAGGCTTCAAGAGTAAACTCTAAGAATAAATCTTGTGCCAGAATTCCAAAGGCAATCTAATATTGCATTCAATGTCATTTTGGTAATTCCTGCAATGACACAGGTTCCAAGCAGTGTCTCTTCAACAACCTCAGTAGTGTTGAGAGAAGAGACATGATGCATGGGCAACTTTTTATCTTCCATAAAAATCCTGTGCTGGTATGCACCTTAAGGGTGACACTCTAGTATTATTTTATTGTTGTAGCAAAAAACACAAATCAGCATTGACTAGTTATAAGCCTGCACTTGATTGGTAAAAGACATTGTGTTAATATGATGTTACATTAGTAAATGTCTGATAAGAGTACAAAACTTCTGGATTCTGTCAAATTAGCATTGTCTGTGGAAGGTTTTGAGGATTATCTCCAAATAGTCAGCTTTCTCACAAAGATGTGAGGGTCTTCCCTTTACTCTTCATGGGCCAGGCATTTATATAACTTCCTGTTATCCACCTTGTGTGTCAGGGTTAATTATGTTTGGGAGAGTTAGTTGGCAGAAACACTTATTCATACAGTTGTGCATCAGTTGCCAGACTGTTGGAAAGAGTTTTTTGGAGCTAATCAGGACCCAGTCACCAGCCAGTCACATTCAGTCATCCAAGAATAGATGTTTAAAAAAGATCACTGCTGAATTGTAGCTGTGATTCCTAAGGTTAGCTTGATTCAGTTCTTTTTTATGTCACCACACCCATTGATATTCTTTGAGGTTACTTGGTATCTATGAGGCTACCTTCTAGGTCAGCCCTTTAAGGCACCTAGCTCTTTTGATGTTCTGAGAAGATACCAACTATAAAGCTTACTTGTATCTCTTAGGGTGAACCCAGTATATATTTGGGTCACCACAGATCAACTTATCTTAGATCAAAGGTTCCTGATGGACATTAAATTCAATTCAGACCTCTAGTATTTTCTGGCATTAATAATAATCTACACTATCACCACCAAGTGAATCCATAAAATACAAAAACAAAGATACTCATCCAAATCATTTAAGGAATAATGAACATTCTTTATCTTTGAAATTCAAACATTTACTGCTTTAGGTTTGAACTTTTACTGCATAATTCACAACATCTCCATTTTTTTTTCATCATTTTAGATTATGCAGTCCACATTTTCCATGATGCTGTGTCCACCAAGAAATTTGAATGTTTTCTTCAACCAGACACTCGTCTGCCCATGATGTACATTGATGACTGTCTCAACTCCATTGTCCAGTTCATGGAATATTCCTGTGAAAATTTATCAATGAGAACTTATAATGTAAATGCTATGAGTTTTACTCCTGCTGAACTTGTGGAGGAAGTCAAAAAACATGTCCCTGACCTGGAAGTCACTTACAAACCAGATGAAAGACAAGCCATTGGTAATTTATTTCTTTATAATTTACTTTCTATCATATTATGACTAAATCTCTCTCTCTCCCCCCTCACTCACGCTCACACACACACACACACACACACAAAATTAGGTTGAGTCTAACAATCTTGAAAGATTGTTCTTGAATCTTGTTGCTGGTCATCACTAGGAATTAAAGATGGGTGAATTGAATGAGCAACCCTTTTGGAGATCCTCGGAATAGACACATCCCAGTTATGAAGTTACTTTGATGATATGTGAGAGAAGTTTTTTGATAGCTAAGCAAGTTCCATTGCATAATTTTGGATGGTTGAGATTTCTTGTATTGTTTGAGAATTTCATTCTTCCTATGGGAAGGAACACCAGATAACAAGAGAGAGTTGAGAAACTCATTTAGGTTTTGATCAGCCTAAGAAGTGTTTGGAGTTGTCACTTGTCTTGTACAGTGGAATCTCCCTATTAGTCCATTGTGTCATTCTTTTGGAGTAAGAATACCTTGCTTACTGAGCCACAATTTCCACAGTTTTAGTTCCTTTTTGCTTTTGTAATTATTTGGAAAAAGTTTAGGTTAACTTAAGAAAAAGTTTTTGAATTCTTAAATTACCTATGTCATTTTTTTATTCATTTAGAAAGTTACTTTGATAACATGTAAGGGAAACTGCTTGACAACTCTATTTCATAATTTTAGTGGGTTAAAATTTTTGAGAAGCATGAAGGGTGTCCCTACATTTTAATTGTAGCCTATTTGAAATTACTTCAGGAAGCTCACAGGTGTTGAACTCACTTAGGTCCAGAAAAACCTGAAGAAGGCCGGAGAGTACATCGGCTGAAACGTGATAAAAATTGCAACAAAGATGAGGACAATAGTCTGAATAATGTAAATAATGACTCAAGTTCTTAGCTTAATATTTTGTTTTTGTAGCATCTTGCTATGTTGAACAAAAAAATAAAAAATAAAACCTAGTGAAGCCTATTCTATGTTCAATATCTTTATCGCTGATACTAAATTTGTTATAACTGATCTATATGCTGAAGTATTTGAAGTGTCTAGTATTTAGTCTGAATAATGTAAATAGTGTACATAATACCTCATCCCAGAAGTATAGACAGAACTTGAGTCATGTTCTTAAATAGACTTATCAAATCAAGTGTTTCATATCAATATCATGCATGGTGTCCAACTCATTCAGAAATATGTAAATTATCATCTATATACAACCATTTTCTCAGATCAATGATTGGTGTCAAGTGAATGAATCCTCTTGGTCTTGAATCTTATATCTGGATATAACAGGATCACAAAGAACTTCACCAAATAACAAAAATTACATAACCTGAAGTCCTAACAGCAGCAACAACTAAAATGCATAGCACATGTAACTAGAAGTGAAAATAATATAATCAATATGTTGACTTTCCACACTACTTTAAACAAAAAGGTTAGTTAGGGAATGCCCCTCAGTACTAGAAAGAGCAATAAGCTGGTGGACTTGAGAAGCCTGTTTTCCTGAAAAACTGTTTTTAGAGAAAGATTTTATAAATTTCAAATGACTGTAACTCTGTTTGATCAATGAATGCCAAATGTTTCCTGTATGGTAATGGCTATTTCATTATTACCAATCTTTGGAACAAGAATGCCTTGCTCCCAGAGCCACTGGTAGGTCCTGTAGTCTGCGGTTAGTTTTTACATTTGTAATAAAAATCAAGTTTAGTGTAAAAAAAAAAAGCACATTTAATTATAAAAAATCAAGTTTAATTATTGTTGTGGATTCCAAGATGAATTCAGTCTCCAAGGAATGACAAACGCAATAATTAAATATAAGAAATAAAATGTATTTACACAATCATACAAAGAGTAATACTGTTAGTAAGTCCAGGAACGCGGTTAGTAGCAAATACAGATGGATATATACAGTCTCGAAGTAGGACTTCCTTAGAGTCTACGTGCTTGTAACTGACTTCTACAAGAGGTTACCTCACACTATCTCCGTTCGTATATTCTCTCTCTCTATATATATATATATCCTCTCTCACTGACTGTCTAACTCTGGGTATTTAACGGCAACACTCCAAGTAACACTGGTAGAGTCCACTTATATGAAAAGGGGAGGACCCCATAACAATTATGAAAAATTGAAAATTCTTGTCTGAATATGTTTTTCAAGGTTGAAGAAAATTTTACAAACAAAACGCAAAAAAACTTTTTCTCTCTCTCTATCTCTCTTTCTGTGTGTGTGTGTGTGTGTTCTTAGCCCTGAGTATGATGATAAACTAGATCTGGCAGCAAGGCCTCTGATCGGGAGGTTTTGAGGTGAATGGAACCATCTCTTAATTGCTGTTGTTCCTCGGTTGACTCTGACCTGAGGTGGTAGCATCAATTAGGGTCCCAGCTATGGGCAAAATGACCCCCCCACTCCAAACAAAAACAAAACACTATGAAAGTATAAAAATACTTTTTTATAGTAAAAATACCAGCAATACATTTTTATATAAATAAAAATTTACCAACAATACATATTTATAGTAAAATTACCAATAATAGGAACATATTAACAAATTGTAGTGACTTCACCCAAATCCATTTAAAATACTATGAGACACTTTTTGATTTAAAAAAAATTGTAAGATATGGATATAAAAAGTGTTTCATAGTATTTTAAATGGATTTGGGTGAAGTCACTACAATTTGTTAATATGTTCCTATTATTATGTATTCAAAAATATAACTTAACGTAAAACACATATCACTGCCTCTAGTAATTATGCCCACAAACATGTATATGCACAAAAGCTGAGTACCTACTATGTACTTTAATTGTGAAAGAAGATTAACATATATTTTTATTACTTCCAAGCTCCAGAGAAAATTACATTTCAGGATTAAGTGACCCATAAGGAGTTGATATGTTGTTAAACAGACATCAATCTCTCAGTTCTTTTCTTTGACTGAGAGAACTAATTTTATGTAAAATTAACCACTGGTAACCAGATATCACTAGATGTCTTGTGAGTTCTCATACCAACATAACCGTCTCAGTCCAGTTGTCTAGAAATGGCATACTATGCTCTTTGGTAAACTCTGGTGATAATGAAGGACCACTGTGGTTAACCTTTCATAGCCTTTGATATTACAGCTTGAATATCCTTTATCCAAAATTCCCAAATCCTAAAACCTTCAAAATCTGAAAATTTTTCAAGTGCTGACATGATTTGCCACAAATGGAAAATTTCAGTAACCAACATGGCTACCCTTGGCATGATTATTGCTTTGCAGCATCAGAAATAAAATGCTGACTTTTTTTCAGTTTTCATTACATTTAACTGTAATCATAATCCATGTTTTGTTTTCATACAAATACTGTACCTGTATTGTAACATTTTAATCAAAACACATCATTGGTAGAGACTGATAGCTTACCAAATTTTCCTTCTCACACTCACAGTGATGTCATTGATGATGTACCTTCTCCTTCCAGTTTATCACACCTGTTATAGAAGTAGTGTTTGGTGTTGCATTTATATATTTTTTGTAAGTAGTGATCATGTTTTTTTGTACATGTACAGAAAGTACAAAACATTATATGAAATCTTAATTTCACCACTTAAAAATTCATGTGAGCATTACATGACTGGCGTCATTACCTGTATGTGTATGTACACAAAATTTATTAGATCTTATATAAAACTACTTTCAGGGTATATGTTATTTATATAAAACTACTTTCAGTGTATATGTATAAGCTGTTTTATGTAATGTAAAGAGATATTGTGTTTATGCTTGGGTTCCATTCGCAAACTGCACCATTTTATAAATGCTATCTACAAATTAAATACCCTGTATTCCAAAATTTGAAAAAATCTGAAAACTGAATCTCTTAGAGTCCCAAGAATTTCAGATAAAGGATTCTCAACCTGTACTTGAAGTCTTACTGTTATCTATGCAAAAAACTGAGTTGCTGGAACATTTGTTTGTCCATAATGTGTGAATGTGTCCACACATACACAATTTGGCATTATAATATAGATTGAAAATCAGAAAGAAAGGGATTATCAGCAATTAGAAAGTAATACAAGTATTACAAATAGAATTATTATATATCTAATATTATAATTTTTTTTTTTTTTTTTATATTTCTAGCTGATTCCTGGCCTGAATGTTTTGACGACTCTAAAGCCCGAAGTGAATGGGGCTGGTCACACAAGTACGACCTAAAAGAATTATGCAATGTCATGTTTAAATACCTTATGCCAAAAAATTAACCACACATCTTTCAGAAGAAAAAAAATTTATAACCTAATTCAGAATTCCAACAACTTATTTATTTATTTTTTATTTTTTTTTTTTAGACAACCAAATTAATTCTTTTTGTTGTTGGTACAATGTTTCAGCTATTCCATTCTCATGTCTTCTTCAGATGTAAATACTGTAAGAAAAATGTAGAAAAAGTTTCTTAAATGATGGCAAAACATACTGACTGTTTCAGCTTACAGATTGTATACCTGAAGAAGGCTGTAGAATATATCTCAGATGATTTGAAAGTAATTTTGTCATTTTTTTTTTTTTTTTAATCTAAATTTGGAACCATGAGAAAGTTTATGCTTGATAAATGTTTATTTGGTTTTGGTCCTATTTTTATATTTAAAAAGGAATATTGAAATATAAAATCTATCTCCATTTCCCATCTCTAATTTATCATTATTATTATTAATAGTAATAATAATAATACCCACAATCAGTTTATCATAAAATGTTGTTCATAGCTTTCATCATTCTCTGATCTGTTAGTTTTCCACTATTTTTATTTTAATCTAAAATTTCCTTTTTATTTATGTAGAAGGAAGTATATTTACTTAGCCCCACATTTCTGATGTTATACTTTCATCTAAGGATTTGGTTATTTGCTTTTATTAGAGTGTATTTTTTATAGTATTTTGAACAGGAATATAATTTTTAACTCTTTTTGCATTATAAAAATATATTTCCCCAGCTATGAGTTAAGTAGTAGGACTTGTACTGGAAAAATCATTGTTATCTCCCAAAAATCATTAATACAATATTTACTTGTTAAAAAAAAAAATAATGAATTATTCTTACAATTCAAAATATGTTTTGTCTTTAGATAACCCACAAAGAGCAGATAATTCATAAAAACAAATCAGTCAATCGGGATATCTCATCAGCTAGCTCACTTTATCATGAAGATCTTATTCCATTTCTCCAGATTGTGAATAGAAAACTTGTTCACTTGCTTGCCAGGGTCATTCAGTCCATTGCTGGAATTGTGAGGTAGTGATCTTATTCATTCACTTCCCAGAGTTATGAGGTGTCAATCACGGGTCTTGAGGGGGTGAACTTATTCACTTGCTTCTTGAGTTTGTGAGTTGCTGTTTTCATTCAATTATTTCCGCAGGTCATGTGGTGGGGGGGGGGGGCGATCTCATTCACTCACTTTCCCAGGAAGCTAATTTTCTTTAAATTTTTTTCCACCTGAGCAGAAAGGTATCTCATTTTCTTGCTTGTTTTGCAATATTTTTATCTATTTCTTCCTCTAATTCTTGTTCATCTTTGTTTTATGAAGTTTTATTTCAAATTCTCTGCAAATATCTTTCTTATACCTGCTAAATTTTCTTATTTTATTCTATATATTCAAATAGTTATCTTTCTATATTTTTCTTATAAATTTTATCTTTAATCTATATTCTACAGTGGCTTTTCATTGTTTAAACTCTTTTATCATATAGTTTTATTTTCTTTATGCAATTTACAAATAACGCATATTAAATGACTCTCTATCCCAGTTGTCACCAAACTTATTAGGCCATTGACACCTTTCATGGGATCTTTGATCTTTCATCACGGCATGTACAAAAACTGTCATTAATATTTTTTTTTATTTAAGGGTAGAAATTCTATTGCTCTTTACCTTTTATTATTGTTTCTCAATACAATTAATTTTAGCATGGTTTTGTTATTCATTTTACAAATTTTTTTCCTCTTCCTATGCCAAACAGGCTTGTTCAAATAGTAATAATAATAAAATGTATGTACAACTAATTCCTGTAGTAATGGGTGCAATTGGAACGCCATCTAGAAAACTGGAAATACACTTAAGGAAAATTGGAATTGAAACTAAGATTGCAGACCTCAAAAAAAAAACTGGCATCATTTACTCTGTGAAGATTCTCAGAAAGCTTGAGTTGTGAAGGGCATTGTCGACAAAATGACTGAAGAATTTCCATTGGCTGCATCCATGTACTACATCAACATAATAATAATAATAATAATAATGAAAAAAAAAAGAACTACATGAATAATATCGTCATTGGCTTTATCTCTCCTATCCAAGTATTTAATTTCTTCCTTGCTGATCACTTCCTTTATGGTGATGGCATTGAGGACTAAGTAGACCAATTCTTGCATGGGAGAGTTGATAGCATGGACTGCATGGTAATATTGGTGGAAGACAATTTTTTTTTTTTTTTTTTTTCAAGCTTTTTCCCTTGTCATTTGATTTCTTCCTTTTCCCTTCATGTGGCTTCAAAGTTTTTGTTTTGGTCAATGGTGATGGAATACCACCAGTTGGTACGATCTGAAGCTTGTGTTTCAAATAATTTAGGATCAAGCCCAGTGGCTTTTAGTTTTTGGTCCTTGTATCTTCAAAAATAAAATAAATTAATGGTTAGTATCATTAATGGGAAGTACATTTGATAAGTATTAGCAAGGGCAGTAATATTTGGTTGGTAATTGAATTTGTCATAAATCACCACAATTTATTTATTGACCCCCTTTTGACACTGACAGTCATTTATTTGACCCCCCCCCCCCCCGTGAATAATCACATCTATCCCTATGGTTTAATACTGACCACTGGGGACCTTTTGCACTATCATATTTTACTCGAACAATCTGAGTGTTGTGTTAAAAAGAAACATTAAAAATGAAAAGAAAAATTAGTTACAAAAATATTAATAATGAAAATGCTTCATCTAAGAAATTTAGATAATTTACACTCAGTACCTAAGAAAGATACATTATAATAAAAATTATGATAAAATGATCTGGTTAATAAAATATTAGTTTTGAATAACTTATAGAATGATTTGTCTCATAATTTCTGGGAAATATTAAATAAAAATGAATAAATAGGCAAATTTAAAAGCTACTTCTATCTTTGCCACATCTTGCCATTAAACATTAATCTTTCCAATTTGGTTTTTTAAGGTTTTAATTTTAAATACACATCAGTTTCCTTTCTTTTTTGCTATATTGTTTTTCTTTTTTTATTTGATGATTTCTTGCAAATTTATACAGGGTGCAGCAGTAATACCTCCTAGAAATACCTTCCACATAATTGCAAGACATTAGCTATACATTATACATTTATTTCCCTTACTTCTTTTGTTATTGCTGTTGAGGATGGTAAATATTGGATTTATCTTTCTTTTTTTTTAATGGACTTTTCATAAATAATTAGGATGAATCAATAAGTCTGCAGCTTAACATGTCACTTATCTGAAATTTGATCTGAAATTTTCACTGTATAATTTTCAATCTATTTTCAAGTGAATTATATATAAGTTGTATCTCGTGTTTTCAAGATAACAAAGGGAAATAAATAAGGAAGACAAACTCGTAGGTAAGTAATGAAATAGAAGGTTTACTACACAAATGTACACTTAGCAATTGACCTAATGCTAACTCTCCTCAACTCCGCTTAACTTTACTTATTTGCATAAATGAACGATTTATGACAAGGAAAGAGATTACTGAAAAAATAAATTTTTCTGTAAATAAATGCCTTTTCCATCATTAATCTGTAGACTTATTGATGTACCTATATGCATACAAATATGATGAAGTGAATAGCTGTGTACTACTCTAAGCCTTCCTTTTGTCAACTCTGGGTTAGCATAGTAACATCCATTTTCTTCTATGTACCATGTCCCTTCAGGATGTCAGTGATCATGACTCTCCACAACTTCCCATACTTTTTAGCATTTAGCAATGCTTGTCTTTTTACTATCCCTTCCCAATCTTTGTTCTGCCATCCATTTAACAAGCTTGTTAGGTAGGTGACTCAGTTCTCCTCTAATTCTTTTGCCTTCAATATGTCCCATGAGTGTCAAATTTTCCAAGTCTTTTCTCATTATGTACCCTAGAAATTTCACATGTCTCTTTCTGATTCTAAGTTTAAGTGTCCTTTTTTGTTATTTTCCTTAAAGCTTCTCTCATTGCTCACATTTTGCATCCATGATATTCTCAGCATTCTTCTGTAGAACCTCGTATCCAAGCTAAAGTATATGGATTGCAAATACTTGTAGTCTGTTTATGCATATTGGTTTGCACAAAATCTTTTATTTTTGATCTTCAATCATTTCCTTGGCATGTGCACATGTACACAATAATATATTAAATGGCAATAATTTAATTTTCATTTCCCTTGAATCAGTTTTAATAGACATCATTAAAAATCTCAGATATTAAAAAGCATTACTTTTTTTACTCTTGTATTCTACTTTGATCATTCTAGAAAGATGTTTTTGTATTTGTAAATGAAAGTGAATAGGCATGAGGGCTTATGTTTATTCTAAAAACTTTCTTTTCTTTTTTTTTACATAGATCATATTTTTTATATTTTGTTTAATTTTTCAATAGAGTAAAAAAAAAAAAGATTAGATTTGCAAGTATGTGAATGTATGCATGTATGGAAGAAGAAAAAAATTTTTTTAACTATTTTATTACATATCTGCAAAAAATTTCCAAAAAAAGTAAAATGTGTTTTAATTCTCTTCTGCTGGAAGAATTTGCAAGTTGGAGAAAATGAATCTCTCATATATATATATATATATATATATATATATATATATATATATATATATATATAAAATTTATATATATTTTTTTTTGCTTCATTTTTCATAAAAAAATTTTCCTGTGGATTTAAATATACCTTTATCTTATAAGTGATGTTATGTATGTACTGTATAATATATTGGTATTATCTACTAATATTTGTCTCATGTAAATTGTTGCATTTTGGTTATTTGTGATGCGATGATAAATTATCATATACATGCGCACACACAAACATCTGTTATACAATACACACACACATCTCTTATACAATATATACACACACACACACACGCATCTTTTATACAATATACACAAGCACAAACAATTTTTTTAATAGCATGCCATTGTAAAAATTTTTTTTTTTTTTTTTTTTTTTTTCCCATATTTCCATATCTTTTTGTAT